TTTTCAACTTTTCGGTCCAAATACTTGGCCAAAAATTCTGTCTTTTCTTTTCCTTTAGCGTAAAAAATGGCACTGGGATTTCTCAACGCAAAACTCTGAAGTGTATGATTCAAGTTTATGTGAAGGTAATTGGCGTTTTCACAATGGATACCGTTTAAAAAATTTGTTAACCATTAGCAAGCTTTTTGTTCGAGCTTGGTAGTATATTGAAATTCACTGGAGGTAAAAAAAAATAGATGAGTCGGTTGCTGTAGTCTGAAATTGTTATTGTCAATTTTTTAACCACAAAGATGTTTTTCTTTTAACGAAAGCCTTCCTCGTTTAGTTTTCTATTAAATGATAAACTTTTGGTTTTTTTTCGGCTAAATGAAAAGGCAGAACGCTATTCCACTGAATTGTCCCAATCAGCTGTTGTTACAGCTCCAGGGCAACATGTAATAGTACGTGGGACCCTGTTAATAAAACACGTGTATAAATCCGGCCGCATTGTGCAAAATAGCGAGCAATTGTAAAATTTTGGAAATTTTCAAGTGTTTGTACAAGGAACAGTTATCAATACCAATCAAGTCACCGTAAGGTCTCAACTTAATTAAAGTGTCGTAGTTAAGATAATCAGAACTAACAAAAAACAGAGAATATGCAGCTAAAAAATAGTTTCGTCGGTAAGAATTATCAGGATATGTTTGTTTCAAAGATGTAAGAATTTCTTGAATTATTTTCAATTCAAAAAGAATTTCTCTGCTATTTTGCAATTTCATTGTTTATTGTTTGCAACACCTCTCCAACTTGTTGAATTTCAAGCGAGTGGAAACAAAAACGACCTTGCATATGTCATTTAGACTCATTAAGACAATGGTGGTAAATAATTAAACAAACCACTGGAAGTTTTTTGTTTTTGATAGCTTGTTGAAACATATACGAGTTTTTCTCTCTAAGTCTTCATCAACCCATTTTGAGTTAAAGTCAAACGAATAGTCGAATACATTTTCATAATCAGCAAAATTCAAATAGCGCACAGTAGCGTGCTTTTGTTTTGTAGAAATGCACCAAGAGGTTTGTTGAAGCTCACTCAAATAAATTTGTTCTTTGAAAAATAACTCGTATTCTTTCTTTGAAACTATCATTGCCCTTTCGAGAAAGACGACTTAGCGTTCAATACAGAATGCAAAAAATGAGTTTTTTTTTCTGTTATGAAACACACTCTTAATTGTAAATGTTCATTATCTAAATCTTCAGTACACCAAGTTCTCTCTAACTTCATTTTTTTACTTCAAAATTTGACAAATTTATCATTTGGTATTTTTTAAAACTAAAAATGGCCGCCGCCTTTGGAGAGTGAGTTCAATTTACTGCCTTTTCACCATAAAATATAGGTCAAGTTAAAGAATTAGCTTACTGCTGGCAACAGTTAAGCTACGCTGCCAAAATTGCCGGCGATATTTTTTTCTATACCATAAAAGTCAATTCCCCGTTCACAAACAAATTTCAACTAGGTCGAAAGTTCATTTGCCCGAAACAAATAAACAAATATAACTTTTAATATGATTCATATAATTAAACAGGACCAATAACTGAGACTCCAAAAATTGGAATTAGAAAGAATTTGGTATCGTGCCCTTTGTTCTTAAGCTAAACTTGGCAAGATCCTAAGTAGGGGGTCTTCTGCTTTTTGGATGGAAAATTTCTTTCGTTAAAGAAATAAAATTAAGGACCCCTTTCCTAAAAAATAAAATTAAGGACCCCTTTCCTAGGGTTTTGCTTCACTTCACGTGAGGACCATTTCTCCCCTTCCCCCTTAGGAAAGACCCCCCCTTAGGATCCAAAACACGATACAATACTACTGCCATGCAGTATTGAACGCCTTGTGTATGTTTCTGACAACACCGAACTAGATTCGTACTATCGTTCTGACCTCCGAGAGTGAGAAGAAACTTTGAGTTCCGCTTTTTCTTGTTTTTTTGCGCAAAATAAGGAACCACACATAAGCATGTGGTTGAGTCGGAAAGTATATCATGAAAAACTTTTCATTTGTGATTCAGACTGCTAGGAAAAAAGCTTCAAAAAGTTTGTGTCGAGAAAAACCGGTTTGAATTGTTTGACATTTAGTCTAACATTGACCGCGAAAAAAAACCGGTATAGAAAGAAAATGATTTGAGTTGCAGAAAACTGTTTTACCCAGAGAAATCTTGTTCTTCGTATCTTTTATAGAATTAAGTTTTTCAAAAAAAAAATTTAAAATTTTCTGCAAAAAATTCTTAAGTTTTTTTTTAAATGTTTCATTTTGAATTTATTTTTTGTGAAGACAACTATAGTACTACCTTTTAAGTTTTCACTCAGTTACGCTGATCTTACAACACACCAAAAAGTAAAGTATTTCCCATTTATGAGTCTAGTCGTGCATTTTAGAATGTTAATGACGCTGTTTTCAAGCTTTTTTTCAAATGTATGAAATCTATGGGCCATATACAAAATTTGTATGAGTAATATTTTGGGTCAACCCTGGAAAACAAGGATAATACATCAAGGTAATTTGTATCCATGTTTCATGTATGAATCAGAAAATTTACATCCAGGTTTCTGATATGATTTCTGGGTTTCTGTAAATCTGGAGCATGTAAATTTTGCTTAAGTGGTGGCAGAAAAAGTACTAGCTTCCAATTTAATTGGTATTGGATCAGTCATATTTACATTATTTGTTACGAAAAAAACTTACGATAATAATAATTAATTATTGGTCTTGAAGCTATAAATTTCAATTGAGCATGATTTGAGCCCATCATTTGCAAGAGCTTACCATTCAAACTGCAGCTCAATCATATAAACGCCACCTTGCAATAATATTCCTTACCATTTCTACTGAAAAACAATTCAGCCAATTTGAACTTATCCATATCAGCCAAAACTTCAATTCAAGATTATATAAAAACTTTTTTTTACTTTTTTAAAAAGAGCAGCAATTAACTTGAAATGTGTTCGCTATACAGAAGTTTTCTTAAGCCTTTTCGCTTAATCGAAACTATGGTACAACTATGATAGACAGATTCCTCGAAAAAAAAAACTACCCGCGCAGACAAACACACCATTTTGGCATGCATTTTGCATATGAATTTTGAACAAAAAAATTCAAAAAAGGTAATTCTGTTTAGTCATAGTTTCGACTTTGAAAGAATGTGACGGAATATTTGTGCTCGGGGAGGTTTTTCCCAGACAAATTTCGACTTTTTAACTAGCCTTTTCTGACAACTTTTTTTTATCATTCAAAAAAATTTTTGTCATGAGATCAAATGTAAAAAGGTGTTTTGCTTGTGATAGTTTTTTTTAGAGTTGTTGGAGTTTAAAGATTACCGATTTGGAAAGTTTGAGACAATTAACGCCCGATGTAATCTGTGCTTTTAACGCGTAAGCGCATATTCATTTTGTCTTAGATATCGTTCCAAAGACTGCTCGTATCATGGTAAAACTCTGAAGTTTCGAACTGCCTTTTGAAGGTCTATGGAGCAGTATTAACATGAAAAAATTAAATGTAATAAAATAAAACTTTTTTTTAAATTTGAGATTTTATGTGAAAATCATCTCCACACACGCCATAGAAAGTACAAAAAGATAGATTTCTCTCCTATTAACAAAATCAATTATGGCAAATAAGTTTCCTTCAACCAATATGGAACGAATTATAAGACGGATTAAATCTCCGATCGATGACGCGTTAATAGCGCAAAATATATCGCGCGTTAGTTGTCCCAAATTAGCCAAAACGGCAATCCTTAAACCCCCATAACTCTACGAAAAATGATCACAGGTGAACTATTTTTTCAAATTTAAGCTCAAGACAACAATACTTTTTGAATGAAATAAAAAAATTTTGTCAAAAATGGCTAGTTAAGAAGTCGAAATTTGTCTGAAGAAAAAAACCCACCCAAGAACAAATATTCTGTTACTTTCTTTAAGAAAGTCGGAACAATAAGGCTTGCTATTTGGTCTATTGATTACTTTGTTATCGGCGAAATATATCATTTTGTACTTTAAATTGCGCATGGGGCATGGGGCTATGTAAAACAACTCTCAAACAAATTTGAAAAAAAAAATTGAAGCTTTATCATTTCTCAAATAAAAATTAAACAATTTTTTTCAAATGAGAAAGATCTCATAAACCTTACGTCGCAGCCAGAAATTTCAGCCCTTTTTTGTTAAAAATTGTTAGTGGCTGGCAGAAATGGGGTCAGTTTAACAACAATTTTGATTAAAAAAAGTCCTTAGCTTCGGACGTATTGTATGTGAGGCTTAGATATACTTGATAACTAAACCTGACTAAACAAAACTGTTTCAGACTGCCTCAAAAGATCTCTAGAGCATTTTTTGTAATAATTAAAAATTAATAAATTTTCACACGCGTTAATTTCACACTTTTTAATTAGCGTCTGACAACAGACTAGTTAGACGAAATAACTTGCCTCAATCAAACATGGAACAGTTGCTCGATGCTCACGCGTTAATAGCTCTAAGTACATTGAGCATTAATTATCCCAAATTGGCCAAATTGTTTTTTTTCAAACCCTCCTAACTTTGCAAAAAATTACCACAGGAAAAGTATATTTTTTAAATTTGAGCTCAAGGCATCAATAGTGTTCAGATAATCATTGAATAAATCCCGTCAAAATTGCTAGTTAACAAGTCGAAATTTTCCTGAGAAAAAAACACTCCGAGCATAATAAAAGTTGTATCTCGGAATAAAATTTTTCAAAAGACAACTAAATTCTTTTCTTTGTAACAATCATAGAGCCGAATTTTGCTAGAAGGTAAAAATTTCGTTAAAAAATTCTCAAATAGCGGCGGGCTTGTTGAGAAACTTCAGGACTGATTTGGAAAAAATTTCCCCAAATTCGTTTTAATGTATATTTTGGCATGTTACTGCGTAGTAACGTGCCAACTTATCGAAAATATTGAGAACTTTAGATGTCTTATTCGTAAATATTGAGAACTTTAGACGTCTTATTCGTTTTTTAGTACCCGTCACTCATAGTTGTACCGAAACTATCTGCACTTTTTGTCGCATCCTGAATACTCCATTGAACGAAGTTGGCGCTGTAAGTAAACGAAAGGAATGTCTTGAATGTGTAGTCGCTCAAATATGGTGTATAATTGTTCATAACTGCACAACGCTTGTAGAATTGAACGTCGTCTCTTCTTTCCTGGTTAAGTGTCAGTATGAAGTAGCATATTTTTGCATTCAAAAACCAGGTAGGAATGCCTACCATACTAGGAGTTGTCAATTTCCAGGAAAGCACGCATCCTCCGCTACGCGAATCCGTTCCATCATAATAATACGGCAGAAATTCATTAAGCGATGAGCAAAGTTCCTTCTCAAATCCGTCTCCGCATTGAGCTCTGTCACCCGCTGGAATATACTTGAAACATAACTGAAGTTGGCTGAACCAATTATAATCGAGCGTTGGAATTGAGGCGTTATTAAAAACTCCCCATGCTATTTCGTATCCGCCTGGAGATCTTCCGCCTGACCAATCCTCGAAAACATCAGTCACTTGATTGACAGGTGCGCAGCTTTGAGTTACTTCAGTCATGTTACCTTTTTTAACAACTTCATAAAATTTGTAACAAATTGAAGTTGCTCGGAACCAAGCTGGAATTTCTAGCTCATGATCAATGTCACTAGACAGACTTTGAACCAAGTCGTGATTCGGAAAACTTTTTTGCCTAAGATCGACCGTTCTTTTCTTAAGTTTCGTTAACTCGGCTATTTGCTTATTAGTTTTTAAAGCTTCAATGAGTATGTTAACTTTCGTCTCTGATTCGGAAAGAAAGGCTCGATCTATATGCATTTGGACGGCTTTCATCATCGATTGTCGCTTGGTGTCATTTTCAATTAGGTCTGAAATTGGTCGAAGCCTGCCTTTGAAGACAAAAAGGTCATTTGAAGTATTTTTGATCCAATCCACAACAGAATTATTTTCAATACTCGCTAGGTTGCCACCATAGAAAATAACCTTTGAAAAGCCCTGCTCAAAAAGCGGTTTCTCGACATTAGAGATGGCTTCGCTGTCATCTGCAACGTTATTTTTTAACCAAGCCAAAAAGTTTTTGCTCGCTTCAAAGTTGATGTTTTGCGCCTGATGATTATCGTACGGATCACGTTGAAACTGAGTCTGATTTCGAATCACAGAGCCAAAACTACCATATTCAAAATAGTGAGTTCCAAACTTTTCAATGAAATTTTCATATTTTTTTGTCTGAAGCGTTTCGGGAAGGTTGTCGATTTGTTTTTTGACCCATTTGTTTAAAATTGAGGAATCAAAAATCACTTCACTTACGAAAGAAACAGAAGTTACATCACTGATAATCCGATCACCTCCGACCATGTGTCGTGCTGCTGTTCGGAAACTTCCACTGTTTGAAAACATTCCATTTTCATAGGAGATTCCAACTTGATCAGCCATTGCTCTCTTTATTTCAATCACTTTGTCGAAAACTTTGGACGTGATTTCTAACGCATCATCGCTGCTTAGAACCAGATCATGAACAATGTCTGGAACTTGTGTGTAGCTATCGGTTCTGGGGTCAAACTTTTGCTTCAGAAGCTTGCAATTCATTTCCAGAACTTGGCCTCGGAACCCATTATCGGTGAAGAAATCTAGCGGCAAAAGGTCGAGTCGGGATATATCGACTCCTCGGAAAAGTTGAGCCAATCCTCCTTGAACGTCTGAACACATCTGGCGTCCTTCCGGAACAATTGTAGAGAAATTCCATGCATCGCTCTTCACAAAAAAAGTCTGCTGCCATGCTGAAAAAAATCAATAGAATGCTATTTCAAACTATATGATAAAATAAATTAAACAGGAATTTTGCAAATCGCTCTCGATTTGGGTTAACTTGAGTGACACCAATTGGTTTTTGATTTGTAGCATAATTATGTTGACTGTTTTTTTTTCCGAAACAAATGAAACCATATTAACCAATCAGTCAGTTCGAAAAAATGCTTTTAAAACCCTGTTTTTTTCTGTAATTTAGTGTTCATTGTCATTGTTCAATTAAAAAGAGCATTCAAATGCCTTGAAATATGGTAAAGTTAGTCAAATGGAGGGACACAAAAATACTTAATATTTTGCATATTAAATGGTGCTGTGAAAGAATTTTTTTTCGGCTGCTCGATGTATATTATGAAAAATTAACTGTTCCTTTTTATTAGAAATTCACGATAAATTCTCGGAGTATTTTTTAAGATCAATTTCAATTTGGTATTTCGCAATTTTTGGTGGATTTGATAACAGTATCTGAAAATCTGAGCTTGTGAAAATCGTGAAATTGGGACGATTTAAAATTAACCAGTTTGGCCATCTTGGGATAACTGATGCTAGAAATATGTTCAATTTTCTTATAACATGTAATGTATGCAGAGGGATAATCAAGATGGATAATCTATGCAGAGGGATAATCCAGAGAGATAATGTATGCAGAGGGATAAATCATTCTGAAGTTTAAAAACAGTAAACGGTTGCTGTATAATTAGCCTATAAAGTTACGACCATTACTATTGCTGCAAAAGAAACTAGATGAAAATTAAAAACAAGGACAACCGGATACTGTGCAAGAAGTAACTCTGCAAGTTTTTTATGCGTGATGTGATGAAGTATTTCACGGCTTGAATTATGCTTAAAAAAGCTATTGTAAGCTTGCACGATAACCTTATTAGCTCGAAAATAGACCAAAAATCAAAAATTTCGAAACGGTTTTCCTGCACAATATGAAAAAACTTTGAATTATTTGAATAGCCGATTGCTGTGGAAGTAGCACAGAACGTTTGGACCATATTCATTAAAATATAGATTTTTTAAAAATTTTTCTTCAAATTAGTGTAGTTTTTAGTGGGTGGAGTGATTCGAGAACTATACGATCGCGTAGAGAATAAGTGAATTAAGCATAATCGTCAATAATTAGGTTTTGTGAGTTTCAATTTGGATCGTTTTTTTGATCGTTTAGTTTGCCGCTTACGCAACGCGTTTATGGAAACCTTGTAAATAGAGCGCTTTAAAAATTATAAAGCGCACAAATTCAGTCCCAAGTTCAAAACCTATTAGTTGTTAAGAAAAAAATGCACCCGATCGAGCTCAAACATTCCGTAACTTTTTTCAAAATTCTGAACAACAATAAATTGATCATTTATTACCTTCACGTTCACCACCGATTTCCACGAAGACTCTACAAAAACCTATTCGGAGCTATCTTCAGATTTTGAATAGGATTATTACGGAATTTACAGAAAATTAATCGCAAGAGCTACGTTTCAATTGTATTCAATTTTGGAGATTTTGCGCGTACGAAAAGATGTATTTTCTCGCGTATTTTCAGGCTAAAAACTTTTCAAGTAGCTATCATAGAAACCGTAAAAAAGTTGCGGAAGCGTTCACTTTTTTATTCCAACAGAAATGTGAGAATACTTTCTGCCGGATGGGGCAGAGCAGTTTATATTGTGGTTTGTCCCATTTTTTTATTGTTTGGAAAATCTCGGTTCGAATGCAGAGGGCTGAAAAATTGAGTCACTACAAGTCACTCGCTTCTATATTAATGTTGTACGTACCTTTACAAGTACATGTTGTACGTACCTTTACAATTAGCAAGGTTTTAGTGATCGGGCACCAGATTTTTTCCGTGAACATTTTGGCTATTATATTTCGCACCTGAGATATTACGTGCTTCATAATTAATTCAATTCCAATGATGCTTTTGCGCATTTAAACAGAAGTAAGAGGCCTCCCTTTCAAATTTATTAAGCCAATGGTTGGTTCGAGATACACTTTTAAGGCATCAGAGTTTTTAAGAACAAAGGTGGAAGGAAAACTCATACCTTACCTGCAAAAAGAAAAAGTCCCTGCAGTGATGTCTTCATTTTTGAGCTGCTATCACCTTAACGCGTTCAATTTATTCGATTTTTGTTTCAGTTTGAAATTTACTGAGGTATTGTTGATACAGTCAATTGAGTATTTGTATAGGATAAACCCAATCAATCATCACTCAGAAAAGTACATGGTCAATCTATGCAAACAAATTCACCCGCGAACTGATTTGGTTGACTTGAAGATAGAATTCATGAGATTGTCTTATTTTTAGAGAACTATTCGTGTGTTTGTTGAGGGTTTTTTCATGTTCATAGTTTTCTACTCCTGGACTCATCTCCTGCTGGTCTTCTCTGTAGCAAATTTGCAACGGAAACCTTTAAGCATGTTAGTTTTTTAGCTGTAATTTTGCCAATTTTCAACTTGATATTTTGAAATTTCATTTTTTTGTTTTCGTTCTTTTTCTTTTTTTTCGGCTGAACAATTTTCGGCTTTTATTAAATCGGCTGAGTGGCCGCATTTCTGTCATTTGAGGAGTTAAATTATTTTTTGTTTGTGTTTTTGAGACTGGAGCTAACTTAAAGTTTTTCTCAAATAACAAGTCCTTTTGAATTTGGTTTGATGGCTATCTGCTGAAGTATGTTCGGCTTTGTTTCAGCGTTGGTAAAAAATTTCAGAATCTGATTTTTTTTCATTTTTGTTTTGGCTTGTATTTTGATGAAGCTAGCTTAAATCACATCAAAAAACCTAACTGTTTTTTCGTTTTTTCGACTTGGTTGTCTTCTTGTATTGTATTGCAAGTGGTGCGAAACTCCGCTTTGCCTCCGTGATTTTAATATTTACATAGATTGATTTGCTAATTTCAATTATTATCTATATTAGTTATTTAAGACAAATCAGAGAGCACAGAAAAAAAGTTTGGAGTTGCGAGAGATGCTGAAAGAACCACACGTAAAATGATAGAAAAAAAAACTCAAAAAGACAGAAAAAAGCGAGAAAAGAGAGAGAGAGAGAGAGAGAGAACGAGAGAACGAGAGAACGAGAGAAAAAGAAAAAGAGCGATAGGTAAAGAGAGAGAGAGAGAGAGAGAGAGAGAGAACAATGAATAAACAAATACTGACATTTTGAAGCTGTGTTTCATAAGTTTGAACAATAACTGTTTTAAAGCTGAGATGATCGTTATTCGTCGCTGGGGAATCTGAAATGAAGCTACATTTAAAAAAAAACAGAATATCTCATAAAAGAAATGCGCCGACGATTCCCATTTTAATAAGTTATGTTACTGAGTTTGAAATCTGCCAAATTGTTACTGTGTTAAATCTGCGAACTAGAAAAAACGCAACTGTAGAGGCAAAAATTGTTTATCATTTTTTATCTTAGGCTAAGCTGAGCTTCGCATCACTTGCGATTCAAAAATGAATGACTATAATTGAAATCAAATGAAATAAGAAATTTAAAAAAAATCGTTTTTGTATAAAAAATTGCAAAAAACGCCCAGAAAATCAAAAACAAAATCACCTGCTCTGGTAAGAATTTTAAAAAAGCGTTTCATACAAAGCTACAAAGAAGTCGAACTATTTTTCTGCGGGAACTGAGACAGCAAAACCAAGCGACAGAAAATTCTAAAATAGCCGAAACATTTCAATTGGCAAGGAAACATGTCCCAATTGGAATCAAAAATCCTGGCCTCTGCTGTCTGAAGCTTCGGCGTTATTGCAAGTTGGAAGAAAACTGAAACTCCGAAAAATGCGGGCTATGGGAATCAAGCCGACAAAAACCTGCAGATGGACGATAGTCCGAGAAAGCACAGAATCAATTTTGCAAAACACAGGTCCCGGTCGGATTCGAGCCACATGCTTACGCTGTCTCATCTAGGCACATGCGACGGATTGTTGACTGATATTAAAGTTACAATCAGGAACCATTCGAAAAAAAATCTTTGAAAAATTGAAAGCTTGAAGTTTTTTTATTTTCAAACTAAAAGCGTGTTGAAAAAAGTGTATGAAAAAGCCTTCCATCATGTTACTTTCTTCGAATTGAATTTAATAATCAATTGAAAAGGTTTTTCTAAAACATGCACTCGGCAAGTAAGCCGTTAAAAATTGGACTGAAATCAATTAAGCCAAATGCAACAATAGCAAAACAATTTTATGTATAAAATTTTTAGAATCTGCAACGCATTAACTCTAGGCACAATAACTCGAGGTGTTGAACATGCAACGTGCTGAAAGAAGAGATCTTGAAATTGGAGCTCATTCTGTGAAAAAAGTTCTTAACAGCTGCGAAAAAAGTCTAGTACCAGATTGCAACATCGTTGCTTATCGCCAGGGTAAAGAAAGAAGCGAAGAATCTCAGATAAAAAAGGGTATTGGGTTTGAGCTAAAGAAAATCAGAAGAATCAGAATTTTTAACTAAAATTTTTGAGAGCAGTGAAGGACCCAGCTTTTAATGGCCGATCGCAGATCTAAGCCCAAATGAAAAATTCATAGCCCGGTTCTGTGCAAGTAGCACAAAATATTCTGACAACAGACTTAAAGGGAACTACAAAAAGGTTTTCTCAAACTATGTTAACACCTCTGCGTGATGTGAAAAATTTTTTGGCAATAACTTCCGTGTTGAAAACTCATTGGTCATATTCAAAAATTACCGTAAACTGGGTACTGAACAACAGTTTTTGAAGAAAAATAACAAGAAAACCAAAACAAAAATCATTAAAAAAGTTTTTTTTTTAATTAAAAAAAAACAACTTTGGAAATCTTTCAATTTTTTTCCAAAAAATTTTGCAACCAAAATAACGCTGAAAAAACTCCAGAAACTAATTGTACTGGAGTCAATAAAAGATTTCATGTCCTAAATTGAGCATAAACATATTTCCTCCTATTGCAGGCGTGCTGCTTGCTATTTTTTTTCTCACTCGAGTTTAGGTTCAAAATATAAAGTTTCAAACAGGTTTTGTCGACATTGGGTTAGTTTTTTGAAGTTTTCAAAAAAAAACTTTGTTGGAAGCATAACTGATAGGGTTTTACTATAAATGTTGGAATCACAACTGATTTTATGTATCACTTGACCCATTCCGACGATTGTTTGAGGTGACTGATGTTGCTTAGAAAACAAAAAAACTAAAACACAACCGAATGCATAGTTCCTCCCCATTTTCATTAATGGGAACCATGAGAGCTAACGAACTTGTAGTCAGTTCATTTCAATTTTTATGAAGCTGCAATTATGTCTAGAATAAATTTATTACAGATTCAATGAAAACAATTTTGTATTAATTTTTTTCGAAGGTTTTCTCAGGGAGCTTCTTAAAAACTTTGTAAGATTAAGAATATAGTGAAGACAAGAAACAGCTTGTGTGAGAAAAAGAAGGATTTGACAATTTTTAAATGCAATAAAGGAAATGGGAAAAAGACACTGAACATTTGTTCATAACAAGGTTCAATACGTGCTACAGTAGCATAAAGGCAATACACAGAGCATCCCAAAAATCAGATAACAAGGAAAATTAATTGTACAGTAATAAACATCTTGAGAAAAATTTGAAGTGTCAACAAAAGGCTAGAGAAAAGTACCTTGCTGGAGATTATGCACATAGATGTGGGAGGAAATAATCTTAGTAATTTCAACAATTAGTTGAAGTTGATGAAACTCTTTTAATGAATTTTACATGACAGCTTATAAAATTGAGATTGACTTAATTAATTTCATGACCAGGAATAACGGGAGTGCTATTCAAAACAAAATTTATTCTTTGATTTGTACTAAGAAAAAAGCGAAAAAATATGTATTCAAAGAACTGAATCTTATTTCCAAATTTTATATGTGACAGGTTCTCAGGGATGTTTGATATGTTAACCAATGAGCGATTCTGTAAACCAATGAGTGAAGAATGCAGAAGCTATGAAAACTATCTTCAAAACGATCTAGAAAAGGCTCAATTGAAAAACTGCAGAAAAAGAAAGCCACACAATTGAAATTGGATGTTACTTAGAAAAAATTAAAAACTTTAGAAAATACAGAAAAATCAGACTTATTTTTTCAAACGAGAAAAACAGAAGGCGGATATACTTCATGATGAACCTACTGAGAAAATTCGAAAAGTTCAAAAAATTGATGAACAATAAGCAGAAAAATACTGGGTTTAGAGCTGATTCGGAAGCTTAATGTCTGTAGATGAGGTTTTTTGATTCAAAAAAGAGGGTAAGGATTTATTGAGAAGAGGTAGTAAAAACAGTAAGTTTAAGAGTGTACATACCAATTCAAGCAAAAACTGGACAAATAATTTTTCGAAAATTTTTATGTTCCACACAGTCAGTAGAAAGGTATATGCTCACAGCTAGTAGAATTTAGTGAGTTTAGATCCTGGAGGGCCTTCTTAAAGAGTAATTTTGGATAAGGGTGCACCAACTGTGCGTCACCAGATAATTCTTGGCCAGATAGGTTCGTGCAATTCCATAGTATACTACCAATCCTAATCTTACTCTTATACTTCCTAGTCTCAATTTAGAGATACACTGGTTTATCGCGAAGTTAGAAGAGAGAAGAAAGCAACTGATTTGTATCTTTTTTTTTCTCTGGCTGAAACTATGAATTGTTTCAGCTATACAATTTATTGTAAATTTTAGTCATGGATCATGGTTGGTTAGTTACTGATATTTAACTGTGAAAAAGATCAAATCATAAAACAAATACTAAACTGGTTCCACCCTCCGTGGTTATGGATTATTTTTATTTCAAAATTTTTCTTGTGAGGGATGGATGTAGTGTCTTCTGAGCTCTGTGAAGCTGGTTTATTGCGAAGTTAGAAGAGAGAAGAAAACAACTGATTTGTATCTTTATTATTATTTTTCTCTGGCTGAAACTATGAGTTGTTTCAGCTATACAATTTAATGTAAATTTTAGTCGTGGATCATAGTTGGTTAGTTACTGATATTTAACTGTGAAAAAGATCAAATCATAAAACAAATACTAAACTGGTTCCACCCTCCGTGGTTATGGATTATTTTTATTTCAAAGTTTTTCTTGTGAGGGATCGATGTAGTGTCTTCTGAGCTCTGTGCAAAAAAAATTGTAGAAAATTTAGATGGAAAATGCCTGCAAAGTAAATGTGATGATGTTGAGGGGTTGCCGTGA